ATGACTCACACAAAAACTAGTATTAGCCTGTGTAGGAGACTAAAGAGGGGATGAATGTCATCTTAAGGTGAGGGAGTTCAAGCAGGCCAATGTCCAAGCTGTCCTTGCAATCACACTCTTTGACTTCAAATGATTTCCCTTGGTAATCATGCCAACCAAATGGGCAGAGGATGAAACCCTTCAGTGATGACATTAAAAAATTGCACATGCTCAAAAAAATGAAATTCTTTGTCATGGTTTCCATGATAACTGGGCACCTGAAGGGCTGGGACCACAACATTATATAATCAAAGATTGATTTTCTTTGTATGGCCTCTGTCTGGGGATTGAGAGGATAAGTGTGATGCGGTGGCATCAGGGTGGGGGGGCAGCGCCCAGAATTCTTGGTCCTTTGGGAGAATATTTGTTTCGGGGATTAAATAAAATAGACATATTAAAACTAACAGAGATTTAAAATTTCCATTTTACTGCATATTAAAGGGGGGGATGAAAATTGCACCCTTATGTAAATTGGTGGCTTGCTGCCAGAGCTTGGTGGCAGATTCTTAATAGGCTATAGAAACGGCTGAGGAGGCTGGAGGCCTGTTCATTATTATAGGTTGCCAGACATGCCCATGTCCAGGATATTCCATTCCATTCCCCATTTCTGGATTTTCTAGTCCAGAATTAATTGAATTAATTTCTATCCCTGAAATTAATGTGAAAATGCTCCCTTCCACCTCCATATGAAAATAACTGCTTTGGCACTCTGTTTTGTTTCCTTGTTTTGGGTTGTTGCTGTTGTTTACTATTTTTGTACAATGTACCCCAGTAACCCCAGCCAGCTGTGCAAAAGGCTTTTCCAAGCTGTCAGAGAAATCGTGCCAAGATTAAAGTCTGCAGTGATGATTTGACTGGGTCACCACTCCTACAGGAAGGAATCATGCAATTAGAAAGCGGTTTTTCCCTTCCATGATGCAACACTGCTCATTTTGCAACTTTCACAGTTGGCTTACTGGATGACGAGTCACACTTATCAAGCCCCAGGATCCATTATTTCTGAGAATCCTAGGGCATCTAGTTAATGTGGAGTGCATGTTTATAATTGATTAATGTGTATTATTTCTTTAGAGCATTTTCATCCATTACAAGATCCACCGGATAGT